CTGCAAAGAACCGCCTTGCTCCGTTTTGGGTTGTTCCCAGCGTCCCAGCTCGTAACACCTGGGGCTGCCCTTCCCAATAAAATCATCTTTGGAGTGTCCTCGAATTGATTACAGGCCGCAGCTTCTTTACTGGAGCGAATAGGTGAGGTCCGTGTCTATCTGGGCCGTGTCTGGAGCCAAGCTTTTACAGGCTGGGAAATGTTTAGGACCTGAAAAATGAGTTTGTCTTATTGTGCGGAGCCGGGTGCGCGAAGTAGGTGGAGGCACGGCTTATGGGTGTTGTTGGACGCGCTAGTTTGGAGTGAAAAAGTCTAGTGGGGAAATAGTCCCATCTGTAAGAGGGAGACCCAGGTGGTGGTGGTGAAAGGGAGCAGTAACTGGACAAAAGCAGGTTGGCTGGGATCGGATACAGTCTGAAAGCGCTTGTCCTCTGAGTTTTCTTCGGTGCCCAGGGCGAAACGATGCAAGTTTGTCATTCTTTGGTTGACAACTTTTAGTCATGAAGCTAAGGAGTAGCTGTCCCGAGGAGGTGCGTGTTTTTTAGCCCCTGTCCCTTTGCAATGTCTACCTTGTCACCAAAGCGCACTGTCCGTACCCTAACTGGATAGACTCCATAGCAGGTGCTGCTGATCTGCTTGCCTCGTCCCTCCCGAGCAAGTTTGGTTTCAAGGCAGTGGGGAACTCGCCTCCCCTTTTGTGGTGCGAGTGGGAGGGGGATGTTTGCAGGTATGTGCGATGCTTAGTCATTGAGCTCGGATGAGTGAGGTGAGCCTGTGTGGGGTTCATGCAAATCGACTCTAGAGATGACACTGCAGGAAACTTAAATGATGATGGTTTTCTTGTGCCTTTCCCCTCTCGTTAGGTGAAGGAGCTGGTGCTGGATAACTGCCGTTCTGACGATGGCAAGATCGTCGGCCTTTCCTCCGACTTTGAGAACCTGGAGTTCCTTAGCATGATCAACGTCAACCTGCTGTCGGTCTCCAACCTCCCCAAGCTCAACAAACTTCGCAAGGTAAGCGAGGGGCTGGTGCCTGGCAGACCTGCAGCAGCTGTCCACTGGGAAACCATGGCTGGCAATAGAAGAGCTGAACGTCCTTAGGAGCAGAGACTGCCATCTGTGCTATTACCACTTGTGGTGTTGGCAGCGGGTAATGCATCGCATGGAGTCTGGGGTGGAGTGGTGCTGCCATCCCCTCCCTCCACATCTCTGCTGCCTCATGTCACTCGGTGATGCATGGAGGGGCAGGGGCCAGCACCTTTGGGCCTCCCTTGGGAGCCACTGCATTGTACACACCTAATCTTTATGTGGGGCTTAATGAAACGAGCATGTAGAGCAGTGACCCCGCAGAACGACCACGTTTTGGTGAGACAGTGAGGTTAACTGCTTCAGGGACGGCTTGCAAGTGCCACGTTTGATGGTGGAAGCAGGCCTGCTTCCTACTAAAGTGCTGTGCTGTTGAATGCCTCGACACTGTTGTCTGTGGCCAGCTTTACTGGGGATGAGACCTGCTGGTTCTTTCTGCACAAGCCTTCAAAAAAATCTGGTGCTGCAAGCACAAGTGCAGCATTTGTAGGTGTAAGCAGAGTTGGTGCTGGCACTGGAGGCCCTGCTATGTTGGTCCAGGTGTTTATAGCTGGTTAAAACACTGGAAACCATTGACAAAGCTTTCTGCATAGCCCTGCCGTTAGTGGGGATACAAAACTTCTTACAGGCAGGATTAGCACCACCTTGCTCCGTTTGTATCGCTGCTTGTGCGCTCTGACAAACTAAAATGTGCTGACGGTTGCTGGAGTAGTGGAGCCCCTGCATGGGTTGGTAGTGGGAGGATGTTTCATGCTGTTGCTTGTAATTTGGATTTTTGGGGCACTTTTAACTTGCTGACGTTTCCTGTGGGGCACTGGTTGGAGTGCAGCAGGTTCTCTAGTTATGACCCTTTCTTAAATGCGGTTGCGGTGGGTGGTATTTGGGGTATCCCAGCTGTATGAGGAGTCTGGGCTCCTCTGTTAGCCTGTAGGACCTCCCAGATGGAGGTGATATTCCACCCCAAGTGCTGCCACCTCTTAGAGCCCGGCCTCATAATATTTTTCCTGGCAGCTGGAGCTGAGTGATAACCGGATCTCCGGAGGCCTGGAAGTGCTAGCAGAGAGGACCCCTAACCTGACGCACTTGAACTTGAGTGGCAACAAGATCAAGGACATCAATACCCTGGAGCCACTGGTGAGTGGAAGGTCCAGCACGGGGATCCGAGCCATTGGCACTCTTTCCTTTGGGAGCTGTCTGTGCGGCAGACGTCCAACCTTTTGGTAACTGTTCCAACAGCACTTCGTGGTTCTGATGTGAACAGATGAGTCGCCCAATTTGTGGCTGGGCTAATAGTTAATGGCTCCTCTGTCTGGAAAACCAGCAGCCAGTTGCTAAAGGAAGCCTGACACTGGGCTGGATGAGTAAACTGTGGACGCAGTGCGCAGTGTCTATCTGTGAGACAGGACCATTAAGGGGTCGGATGCGGTTTGAGGTAGGTGGCACCTGGGTGTGTCATGGAGCCGTGATTTGCTTGGACACCGGAGGGGGTGTCAGTCACATCAGTCCTGGGACACTTGCCTCCCGTGTCATGACCCCATGTCACCCTTGGTGCTGTGGCTGCGGATCATGTGGCCTTCTTGGTGCACATTCAAAGCCCCTTTCCCCCACTCGGTTAACATTGCTTCCAGAAGAAGGTTCCTGCCTCTGTGGCACCCATTGTGTGGCTGGTAGGTGCAGTTTGTTCTCAGCATCTTTTCCCCAGTAGTTCAAAGCTCTTTGCTGTTCTTCTCCCTTCCTTCCTCAGCCCAGTTCTGCAGTCCAAATTGAAGCAGCACGACTGAGGAAAAGGTGGGGCAGTGAGAACAGCACTTCCCAGTCACCGAAAGTACATGGCTTGTAGCCTTGCTGCATGATCTAGCCATGCAGCCATATAGCATCAGACTTGTGCCTTGTGGTGTCTTGACTTTGGGGCAGGAAAGGATATGTATATATGAAGGCCAATTCATGCAACACGCTTCAGGCCAGAACTAAGCATTGGTCTAGCTTCCTCTTCCATGGGGCTTAGAGACAAATCAAGGAGGGACCTAAGCTTTGAGAGGAGAAAAATGCACAGCAATGGAGCTAGAATGGAAGCGGCTATGCCAGGATTATCATCATTGAGTCTGGGATAGCTCCACCCTTATGTCAAAGCTTATCAAGTTTTGACAAAGAGCTCAATGCAGTTATTGCATGCAAGACAGTTGCTTCTGGTAGAGAGGAAACCAGCCCTTTGGGAAATAACTTGATGTTCACCTGCCATAAGCAACCTCCTGACAGTGCAACAAATTAATCCTTGCAGAAAAAATTGCCGAACCTGCATAGCCTGGACCTCTTCAACTGCGAAGTGACAATGCTGATCAACTATCGGGAGAGCGTGTTTGCCCTTCTGCCCCAGCTCACCTACTTGGATGGGTTTGATGTGGATGACCAGGAGGCCCCTGACTCGGACCCTGAAGCAGATGGTGATGGGCTGGATGATGAGTATGAGGAGAATGGCGATGGTAAGAGGTTTTTGGTTTTCTAGAACTGCCTACACATTTCACTCGCTCAGGAGCCAGGCTTCCCAAAGACCCACCTTCAGGTTTTGAACTCTGAGTAGGAGGGGTCTTTATAATCTTGTCCTTCCCAGGCCTAACTTAGAAATCTGGGCTTGTCACCTGACACATCCTATGTGCCTAGGTCTGCTCTGCAGGATTTTTTTAGTCCCCTGTCACAGGTACGTTGCACTGACATAAATAGTGTGGCCGTACTGGCAGCTGGGAGTTGGAAGTGTCATGGGTTCCCGGCTTTCCCATTGGTGCCAAGCAGAACCCAGTTCTTTCAACTTTTTCTTGTGCTAGAAGGTGAGGAAGATGATGACGACGAGGAAGATGAATTGGATGAAGAAGTGATTGATGATGAAGAGGAGGATGACGATGACTTGGATGCTGAAGAGGAGGAGGATGGTGTAGACGATGAGGTGAGACTAGCTTTTGTACGTTTTGGCTGGTTCCCACGTGTGTCCTTTGCATCAATTATCCCCTCTAATCCTGTTTGGTAATGTAGCCAGCTATTTGTATTCTGGCCCGAGGGTAGTATTAGTCAGGAAAAGAGCCTTCGTGGGAGCTGGCTGGTCTCCGAATAGTGCCTTGTAGCATTTAAGGAGAGCATCTTTCTGTGCATCCCTGAGTTGTGTTTTTTCTGCTGCTTGTTACAAAGTGAAATAGGATGGAGTAGGATAAGAAGGGAGCAGCTGTCTAGGTGCAAAGAGAGCTCGGTATTGCAGGAACTCTTGTTGGCACGATGCTGCCAGCAGTCATGTCTTCTTGAAGCCTTTCCCAGAGTAAATAAATTGGCTCGGTGACTGAAAGAAACAGCACATTGCATACTGGCTTGCGAAAGGGCTGATGGTGTAGTTTCAGGGATAATTCAGGCTAGGACGTGGATGGGATGGTTTAACTGCAGATGATCCCATTTTGAGCAGGGGACTGGGCCAGATGACGTGCAGAGGTCCCTTCCAGCCTTACTTTTTCATGGTTTTATGCTTTTGGGGATCATTTTTGGGACAGCTGCTCCAGTGGGCAGGGTCAGGGGAGCAGGGGCTGTGGGGGGGGGATGCTCCCCTACAAAGGTCATTAGATTTGTCCCATGGATCTTATTCCTTGCTACAAATAGCCTCTCATTTCATTCAAGGAGGAAGAGGATGATGAGGATGGGGAGGATGAAGAGGAGGATGAAGGTGATGAGGGTGAGTATAAAACTCTAATTCTCCTAACTAGACTGCATGGCTAATGCCACCTCGGCCATTACTGCACAGCTTTGGTGCACACAGTTGCTCTTGGATATGAGCAGAAACTGGGCAGTTCCATGTTGGATGAGTCTTGCCCCATTTTTTCTGAACCTGGGCACTTTGAAAGTGCAAGCAGTGAAACCCAGCACACAAGCGAGGTACTTGAAACCAAGAAGTTTGGCCCAGTACAAACTGTTACTCTGCATAGCCTGGGTGTACCTACTTGCAGTTAGTCATTGCCATGCAACGTTCTTGTTGTATTGCTGTGGATTAATGCTTGAGTTCCTTTACGGTGCAGCATTCCTGTCCTCAATGGTGTTGACTTGCGTTGTGGTGTGTGTATGTATGTGCACACAATAAAGCCATGCAGAGTGTTTAGCTGCAGGTGCAAATTGTGCAAACCCTTAATGGAGGTAGTGAAATCTCCAAATGGGCTCATGCAAACTTGCTGACAAAGCATCCGTTGCCTTCACAATGGAATTCATCATCCTTCCCGACAGGCTTTTGGAACAGGCCATGCTCGAAGCTTCAGTTGCATGTTATGTGAGCAAGATGATTTCTTGGAACCACTGGGGAAGTGGCCTGATCAGCTTTATGTGCTTACAAAATGCAACTTTGGACTTGGACTAAGCCCAGAGGAGCGATACTGATTTACCAGGCATTCACTTCCCATTAACACTAACCAAATCTATGCTCTTCCAGGACCTTTAAAAAAAAAAAAAAAAAAA